GTGTTGCAACTTTTTTCCATTGTGTTGCGGCTTGTTTCCGTTGTGTTGCCGCTTATTTCCGTTGTGTTGTGCTAATTTCGTTGTGTTGTGGCTTGTTTCTATTGTATTGTGCTCATTTTGTTGTGTTGTGGCTTGTTTCAATTGTGTTGTGCTCATTTTGTTGTGTTGTGGCTTGTTTCCATTGTGTTGTGCTCATTTTGTTGTGTTGTGGATTGTTTCTGTTGTGTTTTGCGCTAATTTCGTTGTGTTTTGACTTGTTTCCATTGTATTGTGCTCATTTTGTGTTGTGGCTTGTTTCCGTAGTGTTGTGGAGATCTGTTTGTCTTCTGGCTTGTTTCCATTGTGTTGTAGAGATTTGCTTGTGTTGTGGCTTGTTTCCGTAGTGTTGTGGAGATCTGTTTGTCTTCTGGCTTGTTTCCATTGTGTTGTAGAGATTTGCTTGTGTTGTGGCTTGTTTCCGTAGTGTTGTGGAGATCTGTTTGTCTTCTGGCTTGTTTCCATTGTGTTGTAGAGATTTGCTTGTGTTGTGGCTTGTTTCCGTAGTGTTGTGGAGATCTGTTTGTCTTCTGGCTTGTTTCCATTGTGTTGTAGAGATTTGCTTGTGTTGTGGCTTGTTTCCGTAGTGTTGTGGAGATCTGTTTGTCTTCTGGCTTGTTTCCATTGTGTTGTAGAGATTTGCTTGTGTTGTGGCTTGTTTCCGTAGTGTTGTGGAGATCTGTTTGTCTTCTGGCTTGTTTCCATTGTGTTGTAGAGATTTGCTTGTGTTGTGGCTTGTTTCCGTAGTGTTGTGGAGATCTGTTTGTCTTCTGGCTTGTTTCCATTGTGTTGTAGAGATTTGCTTGTGTTGTGGCTTGTTTCCGTAGTGTTGTGGAGATCTGTTTGTCTTCTGGCTTGTTTCCATTGTGTTGTAGAGATTTGCTTGTGTTGTGGCTTGTTTCCGTAGTGTTGTGGAGATCTGTTTGTCTTCTGGCTTGTTTCCATTGTGTTGTAGAGATTTGCTTGTGTTGTGGCTTGTTTCCGTAGTGTTGTGGAGATCTGTTTGTCTTCTGGCTTGTTTCCATTGTGTTGTAGAGATTTGCTTGTGTTGTGGCTTGTTTCCGTAGTGTTGTGGAGATCTGTTTGTCTTCTGGCTTGTTTCCATTGTGTTGTAGAGATTTGCTTGTGTTGTGGCTTGTTTCCGTAGTGTTGTGGAGATCTGTTTGTCTTCTGGCTTGTTTCCATTGTGTTGTAGAGATTTGCTTGTGTTGTGGCTTGTTTCCGTAGTGTTGTGGAGATCTGTTTGTCTTCTGGCTTGTTTCCATTGTGTTGTAGAGATTTGCTTGTGTTGTGGCTTGTTTCCGTAGTGTTGTGGAGATCTGTTTGTCTTCTGGCTTGTTTCCATTGTGTTGTAGAGATTTGCTTGTGTTGTGGCTTGTTTCCGTAGTGTTGTGGAGATCTGTTTGTCTTCTGGCTTGTTTCCATTGTGTTGTAGAGATTTGCTTGTGTTGTGGCTTGTTTCCGTAGTGTTGTGGAGATCTGTTTGTCTTCTGGCTTGTTTCCATTGTGTTGTAGAGATTTGCTTGTGTTGTGGCTTGTTTCCGTAGTGTTGTGGAGATCTGTTTGTCTTCTGGCTTGTTTCCATTGTGTTGTAGAGATTTGCTTGTGTTGTGGCTTGTTTCCGTAGTGTTGTGGAGATCTGTTTGTCTTCTGGCTTGTTTCCATTGTGTTGTAGAGATTTGCTTGTGTTGTGGCTTGTTTCCGTAGTGTTGTGGAGATCTGTTTGTCTTCTGGCTTGTTTCCATTGTGTTGTAGAGATTTGCTTGTGTTGTGGCTTGTTTCCGTAGTGTTGTGGAGATCTGTTTGTCTTCTGGCTTGTTTCCATTGTGTTGTAGAGATTTGCTTGTGTTGTGGCTTGTTTCCGTAGTGTTGTGGAGATCTGTTTGTCTTCTGGCTTGTTTCCATTGTGTTGTAGAGATTTGCTTGTGTTGTGGCTTGTTTCCGTAGTGTTGTGGAGATCTGTTTGTCTTCTGGCTTGTTTCCATTGTGTTGTAGAGATTTGCTTGTGTTGTGGCTTGTTTCCGTAGTGTTGTGGAGATCTGTTTGTCTTCTGGCTTGTTTCCATTGTGTTGTAGAGATTTGCTTGTGTTGTGGCTTGTTTCCGTAGTGTTGTGGAGATCTGTTTGTCTTCTGGCTTGTTTCCATTGTGTTGTAGAGATTTGCTTGTGTTGTGGCTTGTTTCCGTAGTGTTGTGGAGATCTGTTTGTCTTCTGGCTTGTTTCCATTGTGTTGTAGAGATTTGCTTGTGTTGTGGCTTGTTTCCGTAGTGTTGTGGAGATCTGTTTGTCTTCTGGCTTGTTTCCATTGTGTTGTAGAGATTTGCTTGTGTTGTGGCTTGTTTCCGTAGTGTTGTGGAGATCTGTTTGTCTTCTGGCTTGTTTCCATTGTGTTGTAGAGATTTGCTTGTGTTGTGGCTTGTTTCCGTAGTGTTGTGGAGATCTGTTTGTCTTCTGGCTTGTTTCCATTGTGTTGTAGAGATTTGCTTGTGTTGTGGCTTGTTTCCGTAGTGTTGTGGAGATCTGTTTGTCTTCTGGCTTGTTTCCATTGTGTTGTAGAGATTTGCTTGTGTTGTGGCTTGTTTCCGTAGTGTTGTGGAGATCTGTTTGTCTTCTGGCTTGTTTCCATTGTGTTGTAGAGATTTGCTTGTGTTGTGGCTTGTTTCCGTAGTGTTGTGGAGATCTGTTTGTCTTCTGGCTTGTTTCCATTGTGTTGTAGAGATTTGCTTGTGTTGTGGCTTGTTTCCGTAGTGTTGTGGAGATCTGTTTGTCTTCTGGCTTGTTTCCATTGTGTTGTAGAGATTTGCTTGTGTTGTGGCTTGTTTCCGTAGTGTTGTGGAGATCTGTTTGTCTTCTGGCTTGTTTCCATTGTGTTGTAGAGATTTGCTTGTGTTGTGGCTTGTTTCCGTAGTGTTGTGGAGATCTGTTTGTCTTCTGGCTTGTTTCCATTGTGTTGTAGAGATTTGCTTGTGTTGTGGCTTGTTTCCGTAGTGTTGTGGAGATCTGTTTGTCTTCTGGCTTGTTTCCATTGTGTTGTAGAGATTTGCTTGTGTTGTGGCTTGTTTCCGTTGTGTTTTGGAGAATTTGTTGTGTTGTGGGCCATTGTACAGAATACATCCCAGATGCATGGCAACCACCTAGCAATAGTGACACAAACAACCATCTATAACACCTGGAAACCAAATACTGATGCCCTGGAAACCACCTAGAACACCCAAATATCATGGTAGTGAGTTTTGGAAAGGTAAACAATAATACAACAATCTAGCATCCAGATGCATCCATAAAAACCTAGCAACCATCTAGAACACCTAAACTACTACACAGCAACATGCTAAAAATGTCTCGGAGCAAATAGCAGCTGCATAGCGAAGCCCTGAAAACCACATAGCAGCATGTTAAAAACAACTAAATACACCTAGCAACACCATAACAACGCCATGCCAACCACCCACTAACACCAAGGAACCACTTAACAATGCTAATGCAACTTCCAGAACACCCTAGGAACCACATAGAGATGCCCTAACAAAATCCTTGAACATGTTAACCACAGAAAAACTAATTTCATTTAGTAACTACATAGCAATGCCCTGGGAACCACCTAGCAATCTCTTAGCAACCACATAGCAACACTGAACACCTTGCAAACCACACTGCAATCAATGCCATGAAAACCACCTAGAAACATCAAGGTAATGAGATGTGTACAGTGTAACAATAAAATCATACCTTAGCAACCACCTAACAACACCCTAGCAACCATCAATAACATTCTAGCAACCATTCTAGCAATCACGTGCTGAAAATGACTCAGAACACCTAGCAACCGCCCAGAACACTCTAGCAACCAAACACCACACATTAACAATCACATAGAAACATGTTACTCAGAACATCAATAACAACAGCATAGCGATACCATGGCAACCACCTAGCAACCACACAGCGATACTCAAACAACCACCTAGAGCACCTACTAACCACATAGTGTGATTGTGTTGATCGAAACCTCACAGCCTGTGAGCTTTGTACAAACAATACTAAAATACATTACAAAACCACCTAGCAATGCCCTAGCAACCATCCAGAACAATCCAGCAACCACCCACAACACATTAGCCTAACAATCACATAGAAACATGTAAAGCCCAAGACACACTATTGCATGTCACACTGTGCGACATGGATCTAATAAACTTGGCTACGATGTGTAGACTGTACGATGATGACAACTATTGACTTGCAGGCTATGACGCACGTTACTATAGAGGAATAAAACGCAGCATGCACCAGTGGCAGCTCGTGGGTTTTAAAATAGAGGAGGCACACTAATTGTATTGGTCTGGGATCCTTGTGAACTAGTCGTAAACAAAAAGAGCGTGATAATTCACACTTTAGCTGCAGTAGTTTTAACACCTTCTCACTCCCAACACGTCACATATTGACTCTTGCTCAGGACCCATTGGCGTCATCTTTCGACGCGCAGGGTCCTCCATTGCTTTAAATAAGAAACCTTTGGCATCAATATGCCGATGCGAAAGGTACTGGGAATTTTATCGCCATGATTAAATTATATATTGGGTAATAATATTGGCATTATCGCATATATGTTGGGGTGTGATTTTTCAATGATTTTTCAACAGTCACAACTGTTTTATTTATATTACACTATTTACACATTTATGAGCACGTAACCCAACCCCTGCCCCTAAACCTACCGTTTGTCAATAAAGATATCTCAAAGATATAACAGGCAGATACAACTACCGTCATCATTTATTCAAAAAGTATTAATATTCCAAGTCATCCGAGGCAAAACGATTGATTTGTGAGAGGAATAAATGCGATCGTCGTCTCCGTCCGCCTTAAAGCTCATCCCGTGTGCTGCAGTCGGTGCGCAAATTTAAAGGGGTCATATGATGTTGCTAAAAAGAACATTATTTTGTGTATTTGGTGTAATGAAATGGGTTTATGCGGTTTAAAGTTAAAAAAACATTA